TGTTTCTGTAACACATGAGCTTGAAAGCAAAGGAAAGAGAGGCTTACCAGTTACCAGAACTGATATGTCCAGTCTCTTTGAATCACAACATAACGTATGGTCGTATGTGAAAGAAAACCCCTACATCAGAGGAAAAGATTTGTCAAAAACAAGTCCACTATTAGAATGTGAATGTTGTCTTCCTCTGAATCATCTAGAGATGCTTTTTAGAACACTAGGAAACACCAATAAAGCTAGAACGTCTCGGAAACGTCCCTATATCCAAATCCTTCCGTCCCCATAACTACTTATCCCGCCTTGCTCAAAACGTCTTGGGGACGTTTCAGAGCTGTCCCCATGCTGTCCCAGTTTCCCAAACAGCTACCAAATTGAAGTACTTACCCGTGCTTCCTAACTGCCAATCAAGCAAGCTGAACCATAAGGCAACCATATTGATTAGTCCATTAATCTATTATATATGTTTTTTTATAGATTTAATATTACAGATTTATCTCCTTCTTTGATTACAATGATTTTCTTATTCTTTGTAAGAGGTTTTAGAGGAAAGAGTTATTTCATCAAAATAAAATCTGGACTCTTTTTAGTTTTTCTTTTTATAAATCTTAAGAAAGAGAAAACTTAGTTTTTAAAACTAAATTGTTAAAAAACTATTCAAAATATTTGAAAATTAATTTGCAAATGGACATGTCATATTATTTAAATTAATTTGTCCCTTTATTTCTGCTTCAAAAAGCAATTCAAGATCTTCTAATTGATGAATTTAATGAGAAGATATCAAACATATATACTAAAGTCTATATCTTAACTGAGAAATATTAAATTAAAGTTTTCTTGCTTGGTTAACTTGATTTTTGTATGACATATTCAACAATGGCTATGTCTAATCTTCCTAGGGATTTGGTAGAAGAGGTGCTCTCTAGGCTTTCGGTGACATCTACGAGAGCAGTGCGATCTACTTGCAAAAAATGGAACATTATATCCAAAGACGAGAGCTTTACAACGAAGTACGGTGCTCAAGCAAACGCAGCAGCAAGGGAAAGTGAGTTTTAGGTGGTAATGATGATGGAATATAAGCTTTATTTAATGAGCGTCAATCTCCATGGCATTGAAAACAATGTTGATCCATCTATAGAGGTTAAGGGTAAACTTATTAGCCTAAACATAGCTGATCAAATCGGTATATATCAAGTTTATCACTTTGATGGTTTGTTGTTATGTATGACCAATGAAGGAAACTCTATGAAGATGCAGTTATTTTGGTGTTCTGTACTAGTCGTCGAAGTAGTACAGAAAGTAGTACAAGATGTGATTCAGGAAGATGAGATGCATAACTGCTGATGAGGAGTTCGAGTACTTGGGTGTTGGAGCGTTTGTCAAGTCAGGAAAAGGAAAATTATCTTTGTTTGAAGCAAAAAGAATCATGTAAGTAAAGGGGAAGTTTGCTTGAAGAGAAAAGGAAATTGGCAAAAAGAAAACCTTTTCCTTATGGGATTTGGAAACTTTCTCTTATGTGTGATAGGAAGAGCTTGAGGCGTAAGTTTATTGTTTGTTATATAAGGGGGACGTGACCTTATGAGAATGTGGATTGGCAAGAGTAAAAATCCCAAAGAGATTTGATGTGAGAGATAGTGTGTGTGATCGTGTGCGACGTAGTTTCGCGGGTTTGTGCTTGTGTGATCAAGCTTATTTGTGTGTTGGTGTTGACGGTTCATATTGGAGAATCTTGGTGATCGTTGGGTTTGTTGGCGTGACGGTTCGTGTGTGGTGGTTTTTCCAAAGACTTGGAGAATTGAAGTCTAGACTCAGGGGGAGTTTAGCTCAGGGTTAGGTTATCCTGATTAAATCTAAGCTCAGGAGAGTTTAGTTAAGGGTAGAGATTTATCCTTAAGATTTCATGTTAATAGAAGGGAGCGGTGAATCAAGAGGGTTGTGCTTGGTTTACGCGTTTGCGAATAAGTTGTATTTGCTTTCTTGTTCTAGTGAAATCGAAATCTGGACGTGGTCCCGGGGAGTAGGAAAAACCGAACTTCGTTAACAAATTTCTTGTCTTGTTTACTTTCCGCAATTTATTTGACCTCATCCGCACTTACACTCTTAGGCTTGTGGTTTGGAACCCTTATTGTGGGCAAACAAGGTGGATCGAACCTAGGAATTCTTACCACAGATTGGACAACTACGCTTTGGGATACGAGAAGAAGAACAAGTCGTGTCTTCAATACAAAATCTTGAGAATTCTGGTGACATCATTACACAAACTTCACCCAGTTTATGAGATTGAAATTTACAACTTTAACTCTGATTCATGGAAGGTTGTTGATTTCACTCCTGACGGGGATAGGCGCTTTTTTGTACATGGCGTGTCTCTCAAGGGAAATACTTACTGGTTTGCTAGAGAGTATGTGAGGTATGAAGGTGTACAAGAAGTAATGAATTACGTGGCTAGTTTCTTGATTTGTTTTGATTTTACAACAGAGAGATTTGGACCGCGACTTCCTCTGCCTTTTGACATTTTTATAATCGATAATGTGAGTCTCTCGAGTGTTAGAGAAGAGCAGCTTGTGGTGTTACATCACCAATGGATGAAATTGAGGATGGAGATATGGGTTAGTAATAAGATTGAGCCTAATGCAGTGTCGTGGAGAAAGTTGTTAGAGGTTAATATGAGACCATTACCTCGATATCGTTTTCGTCTTGACCATGGGAGTTTCTTCATTGACGAGAAGAATAAGGTCGTTGTGGTTCTGGATAAAGACGAAGAGACGGAAACCCGCAACTTAGTTTATTTCATTGGAGAGGATGGATATTTCAAAGAAGTGGAACTGGGAGAATCTAGAGGCAAAAATGGTTCTCCATTTGTGAGCTCTTATGTTCCAAGTTCAGTGCAAGTTAGCAACTCGCAGAGGAGGCAATTAACCATATTTGATTAATTAGTCCTTTTACAATGCCTAATCTATGTGTTTAATTTACTCTTTTCTTTTGTCATCTTTTATTATTACTGCTCTGTATACACGTCGATGACCATTGTTATCAGTTATTTGGTTTTGGTATTTATCAACAGACATGAAAATGCTTAGATACCAGTAGCTAAAACTGACATATCTCTCTGTACCACTACCACCAATATGTAGACATGTCTCTCGCCTGGAAGATTTAGAAAATTAAGTAGAAAATATCTCTTGCTCATCAAAGAAAGTGTAACGCAGGTCACTGCAGTGATGGTCTTTGACTATTGGGTGCAAACAGAGATTCTTCATCAGAATGGATTTTGGCTTTGCCAATAACCACC